TTGTCCATTGAAACCCCAACTGGGGTACCCTGAAAATTGCCACCATGTAAAGCTTTGTTCCTTGATACATCAATCAAAGGGTTATCATTCACAGAGTTGATCTCCCTTTCAATGGACTTTGTTGATAACCGAATCACTTCAATTTGAGGACCTAACCATTGTGGTGAAGTCCGAAGAGCATATCTATCTTGCTTAGGCTTTTGGAAGGGGTCTATATCATGTAACTTTTGAGCCTCTTTAACATAAGCACTTCCATGCAAGATATGTTCCATAATAGCTGCAGCTTCAATCTGGCCAGGATGGTGCTTCAATTTGTGAGTCAAATGGTCTGTGAACTCTGGCTTCCCTTGCATGACTTCAGCAAAAATAGCAGACATGACTTCAGATAAGATGGTTAAGATGTTGGCATCAAACACAACTATAGAAGCCAAACCAGCTCCAACCCCAGTTCCATTCACAAGTGCTAGACCCTCCTTAGGTTGCAACTTAAAGCAGCCCTCACCAATACCAGCTAGATGGAAAGCTTCTGCAGCACTTAGGGACTCACCATTGGGCCCAATAGCCTTTGAATTAGGCCTCCCTGTCAGGATTCCAGCTATGTATGAAAATGGAACCAAGTCACCTGAGGCTGAAATTGAACCACGCAATGGCAAGCTTGGTGTGATGTTGTGATTGAGCAGTTTTGCAATGGCTTCTAGTATCTCATATCTGATGCCAGAGTAGCCTTGAAGGAGGGTATTGATTCTTACCAGCATTGCAGCTCTTGTTGCACTGTGTGGCAAAGTATGGTTTGCTTCTTTCCCATTCCCAAAAATTCCAGCATTCAAAAACCTGTAACAAACATGCTTTCTTTCATGAATCACAATTTGCTTGAGAAAGTGTCCACAAGCGAGGCCATTGGCTTTGAATGGCATGGGCATAACTAGTTAGTTTACATTGTAACATTGCTAGTAATTATTTTATTTTAGACCAAACAATATAGGAATTCATTCATGGTTCACTTATTCCTTTAATCCCATCAAGGGTATAAGAGAAACACACAGAGAACATTAGCTATATTGAATAGAAATGTTATTTGTGAATCAAAATTATAATGTGGTCTTTTATATTAAGGAGAAATTTAATAATGAATAATGAAATATGAACCGATTTAGAGTAGAAAGCTATGGATTTTTTTCCTAAAAAGGTGAAGTATGTAGATCTGACGGAGACAAGAGAGACAGTGGTATAGACTGAAGCTCTTTGGAGTCACCATTCTAGCCTCATGCTAGCTAGGGTGAAATGAGGGAGGTGTATTTGGACTATGGCGATGGTTGATGAGAGATTTCTGCATAGTATTAACAATAGCAAGCGAACGGAGAAAGATGATGGAACGAGGGAGCTAAGGTCCCTTTATATAGGAGATTGGAGATTCCCTTCAAATGCACAAAGTGTGATGCCGTAACTCTATAAGCCACAATAAGTGTGAGATTACGTGACCTCTAGCATATAAAAGGCCGTGTGTGCGTGAAAAGTATAAAGTAATATGTGTATAAAGAAGTCATATATGCTCCACATAAAAAGTGGTGGTAGTCGTACCAGACAGTTATTTTGAACAGACCGATGTATAAAAAAAGTATAAGCTAAAATAAATTAAGAAAACGAAAAAAAAAATTACAATTCTTCATTTTAGGTTAAACAAGAATTTATTTATTTATTTTATTTTTTAAATAAGTACCTTATGAGTTCGGTTTGAAGGGCAACACCCTGTGTGGTTCTTCTGTGGGAGGTTGCACCAAAACCAGTAGTGACCCCATAACAATCAATTCCTTTGTGCACACTATCCATCACCCACTCACTGCTGGCCTTCACTCCCAACCTCGCCGCCTCGTTCAGCTCCACCGTCACCCGCCTCTCCGCCACCGCCACCACCTCCCCCACCGTCAATGTCTCCCCACCCACTCTCACCACCGCCTTCCGGTAATCCCTCACCATCCTCTTCACTTCCTCAAAATGGCTCCCCTTCAACGACTCCGCCGCCGCCTTCCACTTCAATGGGTCCGCCTCCGCCGCCAACACGTCCCCGTTTCCGTTCTCTCGGTGATGCCGTAACATCATTTTTGTTTTACTATATAAAGAGGTTGGTGAATGAATGATGATGAAATTATGAAAAGCAGGCAAAGAGAAAAAAAAATATAGAAACAAGAAAACGAGGTTTGATATGTTAAGGAATAATATTCCTTAACATGATACGTTAGAATATGTTATGTATGATTTTGTAATGTAAATGAATGCAATGTTTGCTAGCTTAAATAGATATATATACAAGAATAAAAAAAAGGAGAGTAGTAAGGAGATGATGACACGACACGAGGGAAACCCTATGAGTGTGGCAATGAGGGATGCATGAAACGATCGTTGATGTGCTTCTGCAATATTGTTCCACCCATTAGCATAACAAGGGGAAGAGAAACAAGACTCATTCATATATACTCTGCAATGCATATACAACCCGCTTGGTTTGCATTTCCAAGGTGTTTTGCCCTTAAATTCAGGGAAACGCGAATTTACTGAACATTTGTTACACATAATTTTGTTTTTTGTTTTTTTGTTTAACTTGTTTTAATTGTTCTTGCCAACAAGACATGCAAATATAATTAATATATGTATATGATATGATACGTTATGTCCCTGAGATCCTTGTTTTGTTGTTAATTTATTGTGTGTCCATCAAAATGAGAGGCTTGGATAAGGAAAAGTTAGCCCCAGCTAGGTTAGTGGATCTGCTAAATAAATAAAGGGTTGGCTTTTTCTCCCGTCAATGTAGAACGACATCGTTTTGAGGCGAAAATCAAGATATTTTTGAAATTATAATTTATTTTAGGATTATAATAGTCTTTTTCATTATAATGTTTTAATTTTTTAATTTAAAACAATGTCATTTTTATTTTTTTTTGATAACAAAACAATGTCATTTTTATTTTTATTTTGATAACAAAACAATGTCATTTTAAAAACGAATATAGATAACTTATTTACATTTACGGTAGAAACATGACATAAATAAATCCGATCCAAGTTTTAGGCTTACAAATCCAACCCGTTGCAAATTAATTAGTGGCAATATTATGGGCCTATAAAAGCAAATCCCTATGAACATATAAATTTGGATTGCTGCAGCTAGCAAATTAGAGGACAAATGCTAGTGGTGGATTCCTTTATGACACTAATGTTTTTTGATACTTAATTAAAATAAAAATATATAAGTCCTAGTCCTGATGATGTTATGTGCACAGCAGATGTGTAAATATAATGAATGATAAATGTTCAATCCATCAACGTCGCTAGCGCAATCTACCACGCCATTGTAATCAATATTTGGTCACCAATTCAATTACGACTCCGTGTACCCTCCGTGAGGAGAACAATATATCTAGTAAAAGACAAACCTATCTCCGTGCTTCATCAAGAAAGCTTATACGAATTTTCTTGGTTTGGTGATCATGAAAAGTTGCGCAAACTTTTTCTTCTTCTTCTTCTCAAAAAAAGAAATAAAAAAAATAGAGGCATTAATTCGAGACATTGACCATATTGCCACTCTTTTAATAAAAATTTACTTGATTGCCATTTCTGAAAATAATTTGTCAAAATGCCACGCCTGAATCTCGTTGGTCTGACAAGCGGGAATGGACTTGACACGTGTCAGCGTCTGAATGGTCAACCATTCTCGCTGGGCTGCCCAGCTAGAATGACAGAATGCTGACACGTGGCAAAAGTACATGCAGAGAATGCATGTGCTTTTGCCACGTGTCAGCATTCTGTCATTCTAGCTGGGCAGCCCAGCGAGAATGGTTGACCATTCAGACGCTGACACGTGTCCAGTCCATTCCCGCTTGTCAGACCAGCGGGATTCAGGCGTGGCATTTTGGCAAATTTTTTTTCAGAAATGACAATCAGGTAAATTTTTGCCTAAAAAGTGGCAATATGATCATTGTCCCCATTAATTCATTATCCTCTCGCATCGAAAACAAAGTTATTTTCTTTCGTTAAAATGATGCAAATAGCTTGACCAGATATAAACTTGGATTGAAAAAAGAAGAGCCATTTAAAACACTGATTTTATTTCTTTTTAAAAATTTTCTATGAAGGGATAGACAATAGTTTCTTGTTTATAAGGCTTATGCAACTTTTTGATTTCATTTTTACATAAATATTTGGAAAAATAAAGAAAAAGAAAATGAAAAAGCTTTTGCTCTGGCTAGTTTTCTTTTTTAATATTGAAGATAAAATCAGGCCGCGCATAAAAAGTATACAAGATGCTTTAAAGCTTGGAGTCATGAGGAAGGCCTCTAGGCCATGTGCTACCAATAAATTTCTATTCAAAAATGATATATATATATATATATATATATATATATATATATATATATATATATATATATATATATGAGGAAGATTATATTTACAAACTCTTACAAATTACATTATAAATTCTCGAAAGTACACTAGGTTACGCTATGTACTTTCGGGAGTACATAGTGTAATTTGCAAAAGTTTGTAAAAAAAGTTCGTAAACGGATCCTTCTCCTATATGTGTGTATAGTGTTTATGGTTTCTCAAGCTGCTTAAGATAATCTTATTTTCGATCACTCTAAAACTACGTCGTTTTGGGTGTTAGGATAATTAATAAATGGTGTTTTGATAAAACTTATATAATAAATAAACAAACAAAAATATAATAACACCTTCATTGGATAACCGGAGATAAGATTACCTAAAGTGACTTGAGAACTAATTTTCTCATATATATATATATATATATATATATATATATATATATACATATTCTATCAAATACATTCTCTTCTATTTTGGTCAATTATGTTAAGTTTACTTAAAAATTTGGGCCGCTCTAATTTTATTGAATATAAAGAATATATTTAAAGAGTATGTTGCTAATATTTGTTAGAGAAATATATTATAAAATTATTAATATAACTTTTACCAACACCTTAAACTTCTAGGTTAAAATTAATTTTTTATATAATATCAGAGTTTCCGTGACAAATTGGTTATGAAATCGATCTTAATTACCTCCTTCATTTTGTTAATAAAAAATTAAATATTATAAAGTTTTTTAACACATGTTGGTGGAGTCTAATACATTGTCCAACTTTTAAAACCAACAGACTATTGTGAGAGATCAAAGATGTAATAGAAAAATATAATATAAGATTATCAATATAACTTATACCTAACAATTTACGCTGTTGGGTTGAATTGATAGCATTGATGCTGCTCTTCTCCGGTGGTTAATTACAATCCAAATTTAGTTAAAGCTAAGATACACAAATGTAACTATGCAAGTTAGCACGTCATTATACACGTGGAGGATAGGAGATCGTTTCCTCTCATGTTACTGATATAAAACATTTTTTTTTATCTTATGAGCTTTCCCTTTATCCTTAGAGTATGAAATTAATTATCATTATATTAGATAAACTGGATTTTTTTATTTCTTATTTTACACAAATACTTTCTCATTGTCTCGAACGTTCTTGCAAAAGCTTTTCAATTACTAACTTCAAACCTACTACTTATTTGCCTCTTAATTATGATTAGTTCAACAAGTACACATGATTGTATACATCAACTCCTGTTTACCGAAAAGCAGTAATAACACTTCATTTGGTTTACCCGTGATGATTTTGGTGTCTTCTTCCTAACTCAAACAAATTTTTCAACAAAACAAAAAACCAATTAAATCTGAAGTCAAAGATAAAGCTGCATTCAATGCAACTATACTATTAGCTAGTGTCCACGAACCGCTTCAAGAGTTACTCACGACTTCTCGTTTCCGTTATACCGAAGATGCCAATTTCTGCCGATAGATCATAGATGCATGTATTGAATAATTTATATTTTTCTAATAAATTCTCCCACATCCTTCTATTTACTTAAAGTAATAAGTATTAAATATAAAAGTAAAAATATTGAATATTTTAATAACAAAATATAAAATACTTTATTTTTGAGGATATAAAAGTGTACATAATAATAACCTAAACTGGAGCGCGAATAAGGACCATTATCTAAAAAAATGTTTTTTAATTTAAATAGTAATTTATGTTTATCTCTTTATTTTTTCATGCAGACAACTTGTTTTAAAACTCCTCCTCACCTCCCGGGTTGACCCGGGTCAACCCTGACCCCTCCTCTTAAGTTGGACCCTATATGCACATCGATTCCTTCGACTCTCAAAATCCGACCGGGTTTAAGCGACTCTCGGGACAGAGGGGTCAAAGAGGTCCCTGCATATTTTTTTTTAAAGAAAATTCTATGAAACAATGTCGTTTTATTAAAAAATAAATATAAAAATACTTACAAACCTAAATCTAATTGTTCTCTTCTCTCCCAGCAACCTAGACTTGTGGTATCTTAATACTTTGGTATAATTAAAATATGGGTTTTGTACTTTGGCATCTTGATACTTTAATTAGGTTGTGTAATATTTACTTGTGGTTGTAGTTTGTGAATTATGTTAAGTATATTTTGAATCTTTGATGATTAATGATTTATTTTTTAATATTTTCATATAGGATATATATATTTAATTTTTTTAATATATAAAATTATATCAATATAGTGACTCCGTGACCTTCTAGTTGAACTCGTGATCCCGTGTCCCCTAACCTCAGTCGGATTGATGGCGGGCCAGATTTATAAACACTGTGTTAGATTACTCAAATGAGAGCACTAATTTGTAAGCGCTACCCATTAAAGTGAGTAAGTAACTCGTGTATCAGTGTATGTTATCATATGGTACTTATGGCTCAGTGGATCCATATTTTCACTTGGATTTGGGTCCAAATGCCTTCCATGTTTCTGGCTTCTGGGCTTGAAATCCTAATAGCGAAAAAAACATTAAACCCTCTGCAAACCCAAAACGATACCTGAGCAAATCCCAGACCCAATACCTGGTGGCCCATGTAAAGCAATTTTTAAAAAACAATTATTATTATTTTATTTTATTTTTTGGAAATATCAATTATTATTTTTTTACTATATAAAGAAATAAATTTATGATAAACCATACAAAGGATTTACCAATAACTCATTAATAAATAATAAGAATCCCTTTTCGACAAAGTTTCGTATAAGTTCTAATAGGGATGGAAATTCGTGAAGAGTTTGAAACATTTAACAACATTGGAATATATTTTAAATTAATTTTCGAGTTTAAGCTTAACTAATAATAGTCTTGACTTCGAATATTAAATATGCAGCTATATTAAAAATTTGATAGAAAGACTTTTGCTGTTATAATCTTACTCGACTCCATCAAATTAGCCAATGAAATGGGGGAGAACTTTTAGTCATCACTGACCTCCGCACTCCGGATTAGTCTCATAGCCGGCTCAAAGAGTCGAAGCTTGTGGGGATACTGGAAGGAGCTAACTCGCCTCAGAGGTAATTAGGGTTGGGTAACTCCAAAAAAAAAAAAAAAAAAAAAAAAAAAATGGGGGAGAAATCTCCAAAATACTAAACTACCAAATAAAGCAGGGCACATGTAGTAGCGCAAAGTTGATCTCAGTCGTTTTTGTCTTCGAATATGTCATTAAGACAATTGGCACAAAATGGAGAAAAACAAAGTTATAGAAACATCAGCAATTTGTGGTCTGTCAATGAATTAAATATACTTGTAATGGTAACATGTCAATGATCTAGAAGAAAATTTGAATGGACCAGTCAAATGTGATCCACAGATGTTTGCATTCTAGTTTTTTGATAGCTGAATTGTAAATGTTGCATAAGCAATCCAATTGTCAAATCAAGATTTTTCCAAATGTACTTGTTCTGTATAATTGATTATTGAATTTGTCTATATATTATGCATTACTCTTTGTAGATTTGTTCTAGTTTGCTGGCACGCTAATACGCTACTTATATATGAGTATTTGGACACTTTCAAAAGCTTTGCTTGTGATATTTTTCTAATCGTGGATAATTATATTCAATGGGTCGTTTTAATTGATTTTAATTAGGTCGTTTTCCCATATGTTATTAGTTCCTATATTTTTCATTTCTGGTCCCACATGCTCATTTTCTAGATGACATGGTTTGTTAGAAACCTTGCATTAATGGATTTAGATGTGATCTATTTAGAGTATTGATAATAGTCTGAAGGGCTCTATTGGCATTTAACCCGACATTATATTTGCACCGTATATACGAACGGCATGAAGAAAAATAAAAACAATTGTGAGTTCTGAGAAGAGCAACGTTATCAATATACCTTTTAAGCTATTTTTTTTTTTACATATTTTTTTTAGATGAATTTTATGCAGGGTTTATTTAATAGAAAATGAGTTTAATTAATAAAATCCACATAAAAAAATATTAAAAAATATGTCAAAAAAGTAAATTATTAGAACTTTTTATAATAAGAACGTAACTTCATTCGGATTGGTTTCAGTAAGTGAGATAATATTTTCAAATCATATATGATATTATGAATTTATGATGCATGAAATTTGTGTCCGGTTCAATTAAGTAAAAAACTGATTAATTAAATAACGAGTCATCGACTCAACATACCAAATATAATTTGATAATAACAAGTGTTATATGTGAACAATATTTTATGAATGACATTTAAGATTAAAAATATATAGAAAATGTTTAAAGTTAATATTGAATTGCATAGGATTAATATAGTAATGCATAACATCTCTTTTAAGAAAATATTTTCGGTACTCCAAGACCATAAAATACTCATTCATTTTTGGGCATGGAGTATGTATTTTATTTTATTTTTGAAATATTTTATCGATTTATTATTTCATGATTAGTTCCATTTTGGGTGGGTCTAGGATTAATATTTTAAATCTCTTCCAAAAATAATACTGGAAAGAATCGAACACATACTCTTTCTCTTGTATGCTCAACTCTCATATGTCAACTCAGTATTTGGTGGAGTATGAATTCTAGTATCACGAAAAATGAGCTCTCTTTTAATTACTTGATCAGTTTGAACTTTAAACTGACACCAAAGAATATCTTAGAAGTACTAGCCAGATGTGGAGATACGTTTCTAAAGTTGAATGTGTCTCTAAAATTAATTAAAAATGGGTCTTGATTAGTATTATAAGTCGGCTGAAAAAAGTACTTTTACAGAAAAAAAAAATCATATGAATTTGTACATAAGAAATTTTATTTGAAACTTCACATATTTAAAGATAAGTTTATGGTTTAGAACTATATGTGAGTTTTGACATGCATAAAGTCAAAATATCTATATATACATAACCCTAAAGTGTTATATATATGTACTTTAAAATATTTACAGATAATTTACTCTAAAAAAATCAAGGACTAAAAATATATAAGACTTTTTTAGTCCTATATATGTACTTAAAAAAAGTCTTATATATTTTTAGTCCTTATTTTTTAATAAAGTAAGATCAACGCATGGAATCAAATGAAAATTAAGGTGGAGTTTGGTCTGATGATGACCTTAAAAGGATTAATTAATACTATATATGTGGAACTATGGGATGTCAAGCAATTTGCCTGGTGCATATACTGCTCCCTGCCCATTTTGTCTTCATTCTCATTGCACACATTGTCACTGCCGCGTGAGTTGATCATAGATTTTCCATTCAGGATACACCACCAACTTCATTACTCCTATCATGCATGTTTGCCTACTTTTTTTAGCAAAATTTGACAATCAGCACAAGCCCACCATAACATTCAATTTTGCCTACAGTTTCCTATCAATCCATTTAATTTTTGACAACTAGCTCATACCTATCTTACTATTCACCATTCATTTCACCCTACTTTTCCCTTAGTAATTAATCAGTATGCATGTTACCCAATACCCAATATCTTATCAATGTTATGAAATCTCTTTTGCTCATCCACTTAATCGATAGACACCTAAGAGAGTTGAAATTCACCTCGGAATTTAAGGAACACAACTAATTTATGCTCTCTCAACAACCCAACTTGAAGACGAAAGATGGAGAGCCAGAATAAAGAAAAGAAGATGAACAAACCCACTATTACACCTCTGACACAATCACCTTAAAAAACATAAAGCCGTGATATTGCCCAAACTGCCGCTTAATTATGACTTCCCTTAGAAGAGGGCCTATTCTAAAAGAGGGCTCCATCTTTATAACTAAATAAAAGTTTTATTCTTCTCTACAATAATACATGAAATGGGAGACCCAGGAATAATTGAGGTTCCTTTGGCATTTTTACCTACTTTTTTTGACCATTAACTTGTCAATCCAAGGAGTAATGCCAGGAGAGGATGATGTATTAGCACCATGGTAAAGAATCTCTCAATATACTTTCTTTTAGCCCTGAATTCGCCACACTTTCTGGGGCAAGTCAACAAGAAGACTTGAAGCAGGACAATTTTTTTTCTTGGGTTGATCTCCCAAAGGAACTACCCTTTAATCTAATCATGTCTCTAGATGATTGAATGACACTTAATTAAACATCACATAACACAGTTTTTTTATTTTTTTATTTTTGAAAGAACAGAACACAGTTAAATGTGATAAGATTTGGTTGAAACCCTTAATTATTGCAGAGGTTGTTAGAGAATAAAATAAAAGTATTAAAAAAGCCCTCACCGCCCCTCACTTTCAGGTGGAATATAAAAGCATAAAGTAGACCAAAAAAATGGACTTGTGTAGCACAAGGCAGACCAAAAATGGACACGCTTCAAGCCTAAAGAGCTCTTGCGTAATGGAGTATGTTAGAGAATAAAATTAAAGCCTTCACATAACGCCTTAATGTTTTGGACTGAGGTGGCGTTTATCATTGATCACTGAATTAATTCAACGTTTGCGGTTCTCAATCTCAGTCTGAAGCGCAACCTATAAACAATTTACTTGAGTTTGCAGCAGCCCGAGCTAATTTAATGAGAACCAACAAACAAAATACTAAATTTCATCTTAATTATGTATTTTTGTTTCTAATTTAGATTTATGATAGCTGTTTATATATGATCTAGATTGAGCTGATGTAATTACACTTAATTGAGGATAGTGTGCTCATGAATTGGAAGATTTGTTTTCTTTCCTTGACAAATCTAATCTCGCTTCTCTGTGTGGTTGATTATAAATCTAATCTCGTTGTTGCTTCATTTCTTAAGTTGAGCATGTACATCTTAAATGAGTCACTTTTTTTGGTGGCGGAAAGGATATTTTTTTTGGGTCCTACCTTCTTGATCTTTTGGTGATATGAAAAAAGAATGCACCCAAGGACGGAACTCTATATGGAATTATGATGGTTGAAATCGCAAGCTGCTTTTATATAATTTGACAAAAAAAAAATGTAGGGATTCTGTAACTCATTTGGTTGGGTCCATGTCATTATCAAATATCAATGCACTTGGTATATGATCACTAACCTTAGCCATAGACATACATATAGTTGGAGTTGGAAAGCCAAATGGAGTACTGATGGGTGATCACTGACTGATGGATTTTTGGGGGGAGAGACTATGGTCCAGTGACCATGAGTGCCCATTATGCTTAAAAAAAGCCACTCTTCAATGTTCCCCATTAATATTCTAGCTTTATTCGTTTGACCAAAATCTATATATATATATATATATATATATATATATATATATGAGAAATATAAGAATCATGTTGCAGGAATGACACTGTTCATTCCTGCAACAAGGATACGGCGTCGTATACTGACTTTGGTCTCACTTTTTTTTTTTTTTTTAAGCGTGGGACCCATACTTGATTTGTGTGTGTAGGAAAGTGCTCTTGTCATGTCAAATGACAAAAAGGAAACCCTATATATATATATATATATATATATATATATATATATAGGGAAATATAAGAATCATGTTGCAGGAATGGCACTGTTCATTCCTGCAACAAGGATACGGCGTCGTATCCTGACTTTGGTCTGACTTTTTTTTTTTAAGCGTGGGACCCACACTTGATTTGTGTGTGTAGGAAAATGCTCTTGTCATGTCAAATGACAAAAAGGAACCATATATATATATATATATATATATTCCTTCACAGGCCTATCAGTTTAAAGGCCATGGCAACGGATATGCATAAATAACATTGCCTTGGTCTCACGGACAGGTTAGTTCACTAAATATTTCTGCAACAAATAACCCCCATATGTAGTACATGATTTTTATATACATTAGAAAGAGTGTGCTTGGTAGGAGAGGGACAAAAAAAAAAAAAAGTAGAAAAAGAGAAATATTACTTTTCTTTCATATTTGATTTGATGGAAACAGAAATTTATATTTCATTATTTTTCTGTTATTTTCCATAATTTCACTGCATCATTGTGATTAAATTACAGTGGTGGAATTAAGGAAGGTTAGGGAGGGCAATCACCCCCACAAGCTCAAATTAAGTTATTAACCTTTATTTTAGGTTTCATTGGGACTTAAAAGAAAGAGAGTGTAAAATCTAATCTACAAATTTTTATTCTTATTATTTTATATGTGATAAGTTATTTTTTTTTATGTCTGCCTTTGTTACACTCTCCATGTCTACCACTCTCCAACGAGATCATCTTCTATACATCTGTAGTAGGTACATCTGTCATTCAATAAGTGACACTTGGATAAAAAAAATATTTTTCTCTCATTTTCATACAAGCATGATAGTCATTCCTTATTTTTTATTGTATAGATGCACTGAGTGAATGTATAGCAATAATACCATAGATATTTTCCTCTCCAACATCTCCAAGTCAGAATCTCAACTAATTTTATTTTATTTTGGAAGATAAATCTCAACTAACTTTTATTATGTTTTTCTACTCTTGATATTCTGATCTAATGGTGTTGGAGATTAGTGGACAAGATAAGAATAAAAAAAAAAAAAAATCAGTGGAATAATCTATTACATTTTATACATGGGAAGAGTTATATTTACAAACTTTCACAAACTACACTATATACTCCGAAGAGTAGATTCGGTTAGGAATGTACTTCGAGGAGTACATAGTATAATTTGTAAACAAAAAATTTATAAATATAATCTATCCATTTATATGTACTAAAAAAATTTAAGGAGTTGTTTAAATATAGTAATCTATTGACCATTACCTTTCTGAGTTATGTGACCTTTTATCCATTTACAAAATTTTAGGGCTCCGTCAATTGTATATTGCAAATAGTGGCTGGTTTACTAAGCGAGCTTAATGGTTGGTGGACTTATTCCACTCAACACTCAAGTTTCACTTCATGGACATAGAAGGTGAGCGAATAAATTCATTAAACCATAGAAGCACTCATATAGGTCATTAAGTAGATCACATATTTGTGTTGTTCTAATTATTTCAGTATCACTCTTTTAAAACAATAGTATGTTTCCGAAACTTTGCTTGTAACCAGTGGCGGAGTCGGGTTCAAATTTAAACCTGGGTCAAAAAATTTTACGTGTATTTATTTTTCTTAACTTTAGTTAGTTCATATCATAATATATTTAAATTGGGAAAAGATCTATTTATAAAAAAATGTTGCAAATTTTTGCAAATTATACTATATACTTCCGGATGTATATAGTGTTACCTAGTGTATTTCCGGAAATACATAGTATATTTTGGAAGAATTTATAAATAAAAAGTTTATAAATATAATCCTCTCTATTTACATTATATTAAATATAGAGCACCTGAACATGCAGTATCAAGAAGAATTATAATTTTATTAAATATTTTTTTTATACAAGTAAAAATTAAACACATAACCTAATATAACTTACCCAAATTTCTCACCAAAAATATTTTCAATTTTAGATAGGTTAAAATATAAATTGTAACTGGGTCAAATTATAATTTTAACTCGGATCAAATTATAATTAATTATATAATTACATATAATAAATATAATTTGTTAAAATTTAACCCCTATCGAGACCACACTCAGATGCACCTGGCTCCGCCAGTACTTGTAACATAAAAAATGTTTCCCCTTTTTATCTTTTCCAAAAGCCATCAAGCCGAGAAGTCGAGAACCCACTTGATCGTTGGTTTTACTTTGTAATTGTAATGGATTGAGGGATGTCAACTTGTATTTCGCAATATTCAGTTTTGGAGGTTGTTTAGTCAAGTAGAGCTCGTGACGGCGAGTTATGAGATTTTTCTTTTTCTTTTTTGGTAACAATGAGATTATTTTAACCTAGATGTTAATGTCATTGCATCTATTTTTTTTTTTTAAAAAAAATCAACATTTCTTCCTCTAATTTATTATCAGGTGTTATGGTGCATGTCTTAAATTGATGCAATAAAATTGGATTTCCCCTATCAATTATTGGAATATGTACTATTAATTGTTGGGATATTCGGATATGTATCTCACACATTCAATTTAGTTTCGCGAATAATATTTCTTTAAAGTGGGCATTGATATATAGCAAATAAGAGAATTGGCTCCATTGATCGAGATTATTAATTAACATCAAGAAAAAAAAATTTATTTTATTTTGCGGGTGATATTCTTTTATAGAAATTTATTAATTATAATAGCTCATAACTTAGTACCGGAACAGTGTATCTATCTCAACTTTTTTTATTAAATTATAAAAATAAAGTCAACCATATTTCGAACTATCTTGTGGAGTACCGCAAAAGGAGGTGATCAAATTGCTCATTCAAGAGATAAACCAAAACGTCAAGTTTTTCATTTAATGAAAATTAATTTTGTTTTAGAAACTTCGTCGGCCGAGGGATAAAGACAACACAGGCTTCTTCAAAACCGAAAAGGTTAATAACAAAATTGAATTGGCATAATAATCAATATCATATCAATATGAAGCATGCCACGGAAACACACGTTGAATTGGATTCAGAAAACGACTGGCTCTTGGGTGGGCTGTTCTTCACGTGCTACTTTTCTGTCTCTTCTCACACCAAAAATAAATAATAATTTAAGAAGTTTTGTGACTAAATCAAATATAAATTTAAAAAACCCTTATTTTTGTCTTAAAAATAGCCCTTATTTGAAATTTAAAGTGCATTACATACTCAACAATAATGTCACGAGAGAACTTGTTTTTCGGTTCAACAAATTTTGAATATAGGGCTAGAAATTATTAAGGGTGACAATTTGAATTGGCCCGTCCCGTCTCGTCTCGCCTCGCCCTGACCCGTCATCGATTCGTCAAAAATGGGACGGGACGAGTTGGTCTGTCATTAAATATGGGCTGGAAAAATGAACTCACCTCGTTTTGGTGGGTTGGCGGGTCAACCCACTAACCCGCAAATTAAAAAAAAATGTAATTAAAATTCAAAAATAAATTATATTTTATGAAATTTTCTAATATTATTTTATTTTATTTCACGCTTCTCTTAATTTTTTTCAGTCTCAATCTTAAATGTATACTAATATTTGTCAAACATTCTTTAGGAACTCATTTGTCTCTATATATAGATAATATTTGTCATAAATAAAATTGTTATTCTTTGTTTTTTTAGGAAGTATTAAGATAAAAAAAAATTTGGATATCACAAAAATATAATGACAAATGAAATACTACCTAATTATAAGAATAAAATAAAAAATTATAATCCAACGGGTTGAATCCGTTTTGACCCACTTCTATATGGGGTGGGTTGAAGTGGATTGAAAATATCAATTCAACTCGTCTCGTTTTGGCGATTTAACGGGTTGACCTGCCGACCTCAACTCATATTAGCACATCTAGAAATTATATTTATATAAGTTAGTGCGAGAGCGCATCCTCTACCATGTATTATTAAAGAAAATCATATCATGGAAAATAATCTTAATCATATAAAAATGAATTAATAATAATAAAAGAGGAAGAAAAAATATTATGATATAAAATAATAAAGTTATTGTCGTTGATTTATTAATAATATAATCAGGTTAAATAAGTCATGGTCAAAAAAATTCACAGTAGCCTATCCAAAAATCATGTCATGATCGATGTTTTATTAATCAATTGAATAACTTTCCAAATAATAATTGCGAATTGTTTTCTTTATTCTTTTTTTATCAGATTTGATTATTTTAAATGCGTTGAATTTTATAATAATAATAATATTTTGCTCAACTCTCAAAATCTCTTACGATTGATGCTGACACTTTCCGTAATGTATTCTATGACATCCAATTGGAAGGGAACACATTCACAGTTTTATGATGCTAATTATATTAAGGGTTCTCTTTTTGTCATTTGACATGACAAGAGTACTTTCTTACACACACAAATCAAGTGTGGGTCTCACGCTTAAAAAAAATAAATCAAACCAAAATCAGGATACAACGCCGTATCCTTAAGATACGACGCCGTATCCTTGTTGCAGGAATGAACAGTGCCATTCCTGCAACATGATTCTTATATTTCCCTTATATTAAAGGGCGTGGACAATCCATGTAAATATGGGGCCAGGAAACGGGAATGGAGTGGGTCATTAGCGGTTGGTGTATGCCATGTGCAATGTTAAATATTAAATTAAACTAACAAAATTCAACATAGTTGATAAATAATTAAATTCCTTAAATATATTAATTGGAGTTTGATCTAATTGTGTGTATGGAAAAAATTTTGTTGGTAAGAACAAAATCTACTTTAATAATCTTTATACTTCAAAAATATTAATTTTCGACTATAAATTGAGTGATACCTTGAAAAAGCTCAAATATTAAATTAAAAATATGCATAATAATTATAGTAAATAAATAATTTTTTTTTCTTTCAATATGTCTAGAAAGAGCTTTTAGTAGAAAAGTGTGTTTAATAATATAAATTTTTATTCTTAAAACCTTAATTGATAACAAAATATGAATTAAATTCTTTACTTTTAAAATAATCATTAATTTTCATTCAATAGGTATAAAATGACCAATTCCTAAGAAATTATTATTAAAATATCAAAATTTTATATTTATTTTTAAATATCATAATTTTATATTTAATAAATAATAAATATTCAAAATAAATATAAAATTTTATCTCATAAAATTTTTAAAAAATATATACAAATAAAATTCATTTTTATAATACCAAATTATTATCTTAGTATCAAATAAATAAATAAACATACGCATCGAGCTAGCTTATTATTCATGATATCAATCATTTTTACCACATGAATCATGCCAAATATGTTGGAGAATGATATATAAGATAATGTGTATGTAAAATTTAAAGCACAAATTATAAATAACTAATATTACATTTTATCATAATTATAACAAGTTTTTGAATATATAATCGTTTGTATTAGGGGTGTTCGCGATCTGAATTGGATCGGTTTTGGAAGAAAAAGTCAGCTGATCCAATCCTTTCGGTTTGATCATGTAATCATCCATTCGGTTTGAATTTTTTTTCAAATCCAATCCGATCCGATTCAATTTTTTTCGGTTTGGATTGGATTGGTTTTCGATTTTTTGAAAATCTTAAAATTTATTTCATGATTATTGTGCAAATAACATCTTTTGTATATATTGGTTTTGTAAATTTTTTTTTTAAATATAAAAGCATAAGTAAACGATAATATAATTATTTTTTTTGGACAATGAGATATGAAGCTCTACATAGATAAAATTTTGTTAATGAGATCTGACTAGATTTTTTTCTTGGGTTTAGAATTTTTTGGGCTATGATTGGGGAAAAACCCAAGTAGGTAGAGGAAAATTAATATATTGGATCGGTTTGGATTGGATCGATTTTCATCTACCAATCCGAAAATCGATACAATCCAATTAAAATTTGCGAGTTTTTTTCGGTTTTCGATTTTTCGGTTTTCGGTTTATTAGGTTATCTGTTTTTCAGTTCGGGTAACGCGGTTTGAATCGGTTGATGAACACCTCTAGTTTGTATTGCTACAAAATCAAAATCAAAGTCGAGGTATGTGTTAGATTTTTATCTTTTTTTATATTTTTGGTAATAAAATAACAATAGGGAAGGATATATTTATCGCCAAAATTTTTTACCACATTTACAACTACTCTAATCACTGTTGATTTTTGTCAATCTAACGATTATAATTTATTGGAAATTATTGAATCGTATTTATTAATTGATTATTAATTCTCAACGAATCCAATAAATTATAACCTTTTGATTAGCGGAAACCAAATAGTGATTAGATTGGTTGTAAAAATGGTAGACTATTTTAGTGGTAAGTATATCTTGCCCCAATAAAATAACAAAATATATAATTTTTATTTTTTAAAATAATTAATTTAATTCACAAGGATTAAAAATGAAAAAAAAAATGACAACAATAACTGGTATCCTTAAATGCTTTTAATTAATGATGGTAATAAAGTAGAACACAAGAATGGCAGTTTTGTTTGACATAATATAATAATTTAATAAATATAAAGCCTTCAGATTTGGCTATGATTTGCTACAATTTTGTGATTCTATCTCTTGAAATTCTCAACAAACCAAAGCTTTTGCCGACTAACCTATTGCAATTCATCTCCTCTCTCTCTTCATCCTTCGTCGTCGTCAGTTACGATAACAAAAACTCAATCTTCTTCTCTCCTCCATTTTCTTCTTCTTTCTCGGCAACTGCTTGTGTTGATTTTGTCTTCGCCTTCTTTGGATACAATCTATGCCCAAAGGCATTAAAATCCTTTTTCACTGCTCATAGAGTTTCGCAGCTCTGTGAACGCCACTGCTTCAAGATCTGATCATCATTTTGCGAACCCTTTTGAACCAAAATGGGAAGCAAATGGAGAAAAATGAAACTTGCTTTCGGGATCAACATGTGTGTTCAAGTTCCCAAAACTATAGAGCATTCATCCTCGTCCCCCAACTCCGCCCCCACAGTTTCCGATCATGTTTCACAGTCCGGTGAGGCCTCCGGTCACCGCACAACTACTCCAACACCCTCGTCCTATGATATCCGCCTCTCCAAATCCAAATCCAAATCCTTCAAGGTTTGCATTATTCATCATTCCTTTTGCATATTCACAATAGAAAGTTAGTCTTTTTTTTTTTCTTTTTTTCTGTTTCCTTTACTTGAATTGCTTTTTTGCTCAATGGTAGATTCGGATGGAAGATTTTCACTACATGGGCTAAGCCTCATTCATTGCAATTTTTTTTTTTATTTCAATTCTGGGATTGTCAAGGCTCTACTCACTTGTTAATTTTTGCTTTTGTTTTGGCCTTTCAATTGGGGTATCATAGAGTGGGACATATCTGACTATTGTGAAAATGTTTTATTATTCGTTGTCGTGTTGTTGCTTGCATCTCTATCAGTGTGCATACTTCGTACGTTTTAAGGACCAATTTTTGGCTTAATTGAAAAAATTGTTGGATTGCATTTCAGTCCCTCCTTTTCTTTTTGTATCTCCTTTTTATTCCTTACCATGATATGTTAATTGCTAAGTGCTAACCCCACAAAGAGTCAAACACCCTTAACCGTTGATTATGAAAAACCCATCTGCAGGCAAAGTAAAAGTTGGAATTTTTTAGGATAAGAGATTAAAAAAATGAATGAATTATCTTTGATCTCTCCTTCTTTTGATGACATTTTTAATTTAGTATTAATTAATTTTTCGAAAGGTTCAATTTAGATTTGTGATTTTCCTTTACTTTTCTGAAAGACGTTTGCTGATTTTTGTTAAATTTCCTTGATATCCTCACTGTGTTTGTGCACCTAACGTTGACATTTTTTTTTTTAAAAAAAAAAAAAAAACTTTATATAAGCTGTATGTTTTCCTGGGAATCCTTGAATTTTGGTAATTAGGCATCTAATAGTAAATCTGTGGGGAAGATGGGTAGCATTCTATTTCATCTTTTCATGCACTAGTCTTAGTAGAGGACCTGCATCGGGACAGTGGGGGCACTGTTAGGCAAAATAATGCAAGTGATTTTTCAAATTTTTCATTTATTTATGAATCTATGACTACTTTATTGAGGAATTTTTCAGATTCGCGGATTTTAAGAACATTTTTGTGCGCAACACTTTTTCCATCAACTAATTTTTGCTTGATAATAGTTAAAAACCTCCAATCCATAAATGTTAGAAAAATGACAAGTGGTACGAATGAGTTTCGTAAAACAACTTATGAATTGGAGAGAATAAAATAATTTGTATTTTACGAGTTTCTTATTTCTTATTTATTTTTTCTTGATTATTAGTAATAACTGTGCTACAAAAGCTTTAAGTATCAAATAGGATTGCTATGAATGTTATTACTACATGAGGTGGGATTTAAGTAGAGAACTAGTGACCGGATATTGCTACTGTTTGGGCTGGCTTCTCAACCACATTTTAAGTAGTGTTCTAGATGACATGAACATGACCGATTTAATTAAGCCAGTGTCAAACGGTGGTCAGAGTTTCACATTGCCAAGTGGTGTTCTAGATGACATCAAAATGGCTCTTTTCCTCTTCATCTTGGTTTGAGGGTATACCGTTTGTAGAGTCTTGTTTAATGTCTCCAAGGAAACTTCTCCGTATTCATATAACGCGCATCATTGTGTTTGATATCCTTTATTTCAGTCGTCCTGAATGCCATATTAACACTTAGGGCCTTCTCTTCCTCACATTTTTTTTCGCATTGTTTGCAGGGGACATGTGCAATATGCCTGAGCATAATGAAACCAGGGCAGGGGCATGCAATTTTTACTGCAGAATGTTCTCACTCTTTCCATTTCCAATGCATCACTTCTAATGTAAAATACGGGAATCAGATTTGCCCTGTCTGCAGAGCAAAATGGAAAGAGGTTCCTTTTCAGAGTTCTGTTTCTAATGTCTCCCGTGACATCTCTCAAATCAACCGAGTAACTGTTGACGATTGGACAACTGTTGTACGGAGACTTCCTAACCCACAAGTTGGTACAGGTCGGCAGATTTCTTCCCATAATAATGTTCATGAGCCGGCTATCTTTGATGATGATGAAGCTTTGGATCCACAAACTTCAGCTATCCAGGTTAAAAATGAGGCTGATAATAACATGAAAAATACAATGGAAATCAAACTATATCCTGAAGTTTCAGCAGTTTCAAAGTTAGCCTGTCATGAAAACTTTGCTGTCTTAATTCATCTCAAAGCTCCTCATTCAGGGAGAAAACAAAATAGTGAAAGAAACAATACTGAATCATCAGCTTCAGTTCAAAATTCTCGTGCTCCAATTGACCTTGTCACAGTTCTCGATGTAAGTGGTAGCATGGCAGGTACAAAGATTGTGTTATTAAAACGAGCTATGGGTTTTGTCATACAGAATTTGAGTTCATTAGACCGGCTTTGTGTCATTGCCTTCTCTTCCACAGCCCGCCGCATCTTTCCTCTTCAGCGGATGACTGATGCTGGACGACAGCGGGCATTGCATGCCATCAATTCTTTGGTTCCAAATGGTGGGACAAACATTGCTGAAGGTTTGAGGAAAGGTGCCAAGGTGTTTATTGATCGTCGGTGGAAGAACCCAGTTAGCAGTATCATATTTCTATCTGATGGGCAAGATACATACACAATCAACCGTGTTGGGATCGATTACCGGTCACTTGTACCAAACTCCATTCATCGTGATAATGGTGAGGGTTTGCAGATACCAGTGCATGCATTTGGCTTTGGTGCTGACCATGATGCTACTGCAATGCACTCAATTTCTGAGATGTCTGGGGGTACATTTTCTTTTATTGAAGCTGAGGATGTGATTCAGGATGCATTTGCACAGTGTATTGGGGGACTTTTGAGCGTGGTGGTTCAGGAATTACATGTAGAAGTGCAATGTGTTCACCCTCATCTGCAACTTAGTTCTGTAAAAGCAGGAAGTTACCAAAGTAGCTTGACTGAAAACGCAAGGATGGCATCTATCAAGGTAGGAGATATGTATGCTGAAGAAGAAAGAGACTTTTTGATTACAATCAATGTTCCAGTTGACGAGTCTAGTGATGAGATGTCATTGTTGACGGTTAGAGGTCTTTATAAAGACCCCATCACAAAAGAAATGATGGGTTTGGAAGGAACTAGTGAAGTAAAGATTCAGAGACCTTATGTAGCTAGAGATCCAGTTGTCTCATTGGAAGTAGACAAGCAGAGAAACAGGGTTCGAGCTGCTGAGGCAATGGTTGAGGCTAGAGTTAAAGCTGAACGTGGTGATTTGGCTGCTGCAGTTTCTGTCCTGGAGAGATGTCATAAGGCATTGTCTGAAACTATCTCTGCCCGAGCTGGTGACCGATTATGTGTTGTTCTTTCGGCCGAGTTAAAGGAGATGCAGGAGAGGATGACAAACCAACGTGTTTATGAGCAGTCTGGAAGAGCCTATGTTCTGTCAGGATTGAGCTCTCATTCATGGCAAAGGGCAACTGCACGAGGTGATTCCACAGACAGCACCAGCCTTGTGCAAGCATACCAAACCCCTTCAATGGTTGACATGGTTAGCCGTTCCCAAATTCTGAGGACTCCACAACCTGCAAGTACCCTCCGGTCAACTAGATCCTTTGCTGAGAGGCAGCGAGGAAGAAAATGATGAAAATTATGTTTGGAAAATTCTACTCATCCTAATACCTACACTTACCTTTTGGTTTCTTTTGTAACCTTTTGATAAAATTCTCTGATTTGCCGGTATAAAATTGTAAATGCTTTGGCTGGATAATGGGGCTTTGGTAGGATATTAGTATATCATTGTGAGGAGGGATGCACATAACTTTTCATTTACAGTTAGATTCTGGATGTACTTCTGATTCTTTTCATTAATAGAGCTCCTCCTTTTGCTTTCCCTTTTTAAAATTATGGACTTCTGTTTCTTCATGTTAATCTTTTTGCACCATGTAGCAAGGGATTTCATATACCAACCGCATAAATATAATCTGATTATTGCTTTAATTATAGTTGATACAATACAAGATCAGCTGTTCTGGATTCTGCTTGGATAAAATTATGGTAAAGTAATCATTTTAATCTGGCATTATTGCTGTTATTATATATTAAAAGTGCATTTGATTTTTTTAAAGAAATTATATCCATTTTATTATAATTTTCATTCCCAATTCTTTGATAGGTTCTTATTTTTATATTTTTGGGCTAAGGAAGTAAGATTTCTCATTCTTATCTTTCTGGTCTGGCAAGCTGGATTTAGACGAATTTGATTCGATGGTTCATATTTATTTTATATATTGAATCATAAAATTCAATTTATTGTATATATATATATATGGGTTTACTAATCTACATCAATAAGAGATAGTGTATCTCTTAGCACTCTCACAATCATACAGTGGAACCCACATAATTATAAAATAAAAAAATATAAACAAAAAACAAAAAAAATCATGTGTCTGTGGAAAAACACACTACCCTCCTATGGCTGGAGAGTAGTTTTTCTCATATATATATATATATATATGGGGAGGGATCATTTGACTCTAGAGTAAGACTTACAAGTCTTACTCCTCATCTCAACCATTGATTTCCGTTCATCTAACGGGTATTATTTATTAAAAATTAATAATTAATTAATTGGTATAGATAACCGTTAGATGGACGGAAATCAACGGTTGAGATGAGGAGTAAAACTTGTAAGTCTTACTCTGGAGTCAAAATATCCTTCCCCATATATATATATATATATATATATATATATAGGTAAAATCATTTCTGCAGTCGCTTTATGTATAGCAACGACAGATGTATGGTTATATATATATAAATTATGATTTAATGCTTTCATCCTTTGTATGATTATGATTTCCCGCATTCAATGCTTTCGAGTATATATATGGCAAATATTTGATTGCTGCACGTACAGCAACTGCAAAAATGTAAACCTTATATATATATAGGGATATGATGAACTTACACCGGTGTAAGAATAATAAATCTTATACAAAATCTTAACCGTTGATTTTCGTGCATCTAATGGTTGAGATTTATTGGGAATTACAAATTAATTAATGAGTGAGACCTAATAAATCTTAACCGTTAGATGCAGAAAATCAATGGTTAAGATCTGGTGTAAGACTTATTATTCTTACACTAGTGTAAGATGATCCTGCCTCATATATATATATATATATATATATATATATATATATATATATATAGAGGTAGGATCCTTTGACACCGGTGTCAAATTTAAAGTTTGACACATCTTCTGAGAGACGTTAGATCAAAAAAGATCAACGACTCTGATTTGTAAGCATGTGACTCCATTGATCTTTTTTTATCTAACGGATATAAGATGAGGTGTGAAAGGATCCTACCTCATATATATATATATATATATATATATATATATATATATATATATATATAAATGAAAATGCATTAAGTTTTTCTAAAATAAAAAGTATAAAGAATGGTTTGAAGAAAATTGATAACAAATTGATAACAAAATTTTAAAAAGTTAAGGTGAGTTTTAAGAAGATAAAAAGAAATCTGAAAAAGAAAGAAAATTGGATGGCTGAGAGTATGGTAGTTAAAATTCTGAATTAAATTTTAGCTTTTATGATTTTATGATTTTTTTAATCAAAACAATTTTAATCAAAATTCTAAACACTTTTAGGTTTTATGATTTTTTTTACGTTAGAATTTTATATTTTATGATTTTTTTATCCTCTTTCAATTTTAGGTAAAATTTCGATTTATACTAAGACTGAATGTAAACTAAAAGAGGCTTGAGATAGAATGCCTGTGAAATTTGTCATAGAAAAAGTGTTCGAAAATAACATTGCTCTGTAACGCGATTGGCCGAACGTGTAATTGTTCAAATTCAGTAAAATGTTGACAGAGACAGGTTTGGCTTATCTAATAAGAGGTTGGAATAAAATTGAAATACCAACATCCGAGTGTGTATCAATTACTTCGGATTGCTACTGGTTTTGGGTAAACAATTGTGATAAAAATTTAGTAGGAAATTTTTTGGTAAAGAGCCTTATTATTTTTATAATTTTATCCAATGAATAATAGATCAATTAATAGAGAATAAAAATAATTCAAAAAAAAAAATTGAAGAATTTTTTTATTTTTTTTATTTGACTGTCATTTGTTCTCAATCACTAGTTATTACAATTATTAATATTTTGAAAAAAAAATTTAAATATTATTTGAATATATATTTTAAATTATAAATAATAATTAATTTTAATATTTTTGAGATAAATTGATTTAATTTTATTAATATAAACAAATTAAATATAAAAAAAAAAGTAGATATAGATAAACAAATCCATAGAATAATATATCTGCCTTACAAAATGAGAAAAACTTCGATTTAACGGAACTACCAAACTCGTGCTCCTTTTATTAAAAAGAGATTTTTTTTACCTTTTTTTTTATATATTTATCTTTAAGTCCTAAAAAAAAATTCTTTTTTTTAGTAAAAAGGAGCTCTGAGTCGATAATCCGGTGCATTTAAATTTTCTTCTACAAAACCGACTGTGTCAATAATTTATTAATTAAAATTAGGAAAAAATATTTTTTTTTGCTACATAAATTTCTACTATCTCATACTTACATAAAAGTAAGTAGATCCTATTATAAAAAAAAAGATAGAGAAAAAATTAATGAAATTTACTTATTTTTATGTGAGTGTAATATAAATTTCTTTTACAATAACAACAAAAATATTAAATCTTTAAAATTATGTTTAACTCATTACAAATTAACCAATCTAATCTTTTGTGACGTGAACGTGACTTCATTATAGTTTTTTAAGGGGTCTTAGACCTTTAAATGTACTAATTTGGTATCTGATTAAGATTTATTATCGTTTGAGATCTTCAAGTTGGGCGGGTAGCGACTCTAAATCTCGCCCTTATATGATATTGGACCGATCATATATTTGATCCAGTATAAAATCAGTCTTGCAGCACTATTTTTTTTAAAAAATTGATTTGTGAAAATTTGAACAAGATACATGAAAAATATCACTAATGAGACTCAAACATAAACCAAGTGAATTATAATTTATAGCATTTATTACTAAATCAGCTCTAATTACTTTTTTATTTTTTTGTAGGTATCAGCTCTAATTATTAGTTATAATGTTTCTAATTTTATATTTATTATATTTTATTATATATATATTTAATTCATGTAATTGAAATATTGACTAATAATCTACTTAAATCTATTGATCTAATACGCCGACCGAGCCGATAACTGATAAAAACCTGAAAGTGATTCGGATAACCTTGTTTTCTTTTGTTTTACTCAAAGTACTTTGGGCCTATAATATTAGCTCATCTCTTTTTCTTATTAGTGTATCAAAATATTAATTTTTTTTAAAAAAATCCCACTAACTAAGTACTTTTTAAAATGTCAGTTGGATATTAAGTAAATGAGAAAAAATGTCATGATAAGAATTTAACTCTGCAATTATCAAATAAGAATATATCCATAAATTCACGTTAAAAGGGCTTTTTCTGAAATAAATAACCGAGGAGATATCGTTGCTTTGTTGGATTGGTAAGTTCCCGAACGATTGCAGAATGGAGAGGCACCGTTGATTGTGATAAACTATTATTGGCTCATTGCTGTGCCGACGCTTTACAAGTTGGCCCATGGCCAACAAATGAGAAGGTCGTGGGGCGCTCTGTTTAATTTAAGGTAAATAACGTGTTTACAAATTTTTTTGAATCTTTTTTACAAATTACACTATGTTTTAAAGGTGTTTATCAACAAATTCAAATCAATTCAAACCGCGATAATCGAACTGAAAAATCGATAACCGAATAAACTGAGAATCGAATAATTGAAAACCGAAAAAAACCGCAAATTTTAATTGGATTGGATCGGTTTTTGGATAGGTTGATGAAAACCGATTCAATCCAAACCGATCCAATATATTAATTCTCCTCTACCTATTTGGATCTTTCTCTAATCATAGCCTAAAAATTTCTAAACCCAAGACCCATTAACTCATCAACTAAACACAAGAAAAAATCTAGTCATATCTCATCAACTAAATTTTATTTCTGTAGAGTTTCATATCTCATTGCCAAAAAAAAACTATATTATAATTTACTAATACTTTTGTATTTCAAAAAAATAATAATTTACAAAGCCAATATATACAATATATACCAAAGATGTTATTTGCACAGTAATCATGAAATAAATTTTAGGATTTTAAGAAAATCGAAAACCGATCCAATCCAAACCGAAAAAAATTGGATTGGATCGGATCGGATTTGAAAAAAATCCAAACTGAATGGATGATGATATGATCAAACCGAAGAGATTGGATCAGATGATTTTTGGTTTCAAAACCGATCCAATCCAGACCGCGAACACCCCTACTATGTTTTCCTGGAGAACATAGTGAAATTAGTGTTCTCTCAGGAAAAGATAGTGTAATTTGTAAGAGTTTATAAACAAAAAAAATTGTAAATATAACCTGCCTCTTAATTTAAATTAAAAATAAATACCATTTTCGGTCCTCAACAAATTTTACTATACCCACTTTAGTCTCTAGCAAATAAAAATGCTATTCGTGATCTCTAAGAAATTCAATGCAGACCCATTTAAAATAGATCCATTTTAAATATTCTAAAAACTCTTTTTATTTGCT